AACCAAGTACAAGAGCAAGGCGACTGCTTGAGATCCAGCAGAGAAAGCAAAGAAGAGCACCGAGAGAGCCAGCCTTGATGTCCAAACCCACATAGAAGAGGCCATAAATTAAGGTCAGCAAGAAGCCATAGTTGAACACCAGGACAGTATGACCCCAAAGCTGAACTGGAGAGGCGTTGAGAATTGGGGGAGTGAAGTAGAGGAGGACAAGACTGGTGAAGAAAATTGGCCAGACGCAGAGCATGTGAATGAAGATATTCACCGGGTTGCTGTGGTATGCTCCGTAGAAGGCGAAGTGCTTCTCCAAATCAAACAGCCCCATTTTACCTATCCTCACCTCTCCTTCCTTCCCCTGTTTCCTATTTCTCTTGATGATGATAGGTTTAAATTTTGGAAAGATAAAACTTTTCTTCAAAACTATGGTAGGTCGATTCTTGACCAGAGACAATCAGGGCCGATCCTGAAAAAGTGGAGACCATGTGCAAAAGTGGAGACTATCAGGCCTTCCATTCCAATACAAGTAGAAATACAACATAACTAAAGATGATAACAGTGATAAATTACTGATAATTTGTGTTAAAATAAAAGTTATTAATGAAGATAATAGTAATAGAAAAAAGCTAACTTAAATTTTAAGTTAAGGAATTTAAATTAACAACCTTTTCAGTAATAACATAGTTATAACAATTAGTTAAATATATTAGTTTAATTACTTCATCAATTAATTACAAAAAATAAAAAATAAGAACCTAATGTGTTAAATTTGGTCATAGATGAGTAGGCCTAATAGATAATTAAAATCAGCATCTTAATCACAATATCACATAATAATCAAGATGATTAATAAATATAATACAAACAAATTAAGAAAATTAATAATTTATAATTTGAAAGAGATAAACTTACCTGCTCCAAATCAACACTTCAGCGGCCGAGCGACAATCAGAGTCAGGCGGCTCAGCGGAGATGTGGGTTGAGCTTCTGAGCAGGCGGGAGGCGGGGCGCGGTGGTGAACCTAGACGGCGACCGGCGTTGACAGTCACGATTGGGTGGATGCGTTGGACTAGGTGCTCATGGCCTGGGTCGCCTTCGAAGGTATATTAGGAAGAAGAGAGAATAAAGGATGCGATTGGGGTCTATAAGCGCAATTTCTCAGTTTTTCTTTCATTTTTAAGTCCACCCATTGCCGTCAAAGGTACGTTTCCAGGTGGTCACACTTTTGGCATGTTAGGATTGTTAGGTATTTTCATACTGAGTAATTTAATTCTATTTGGGTGGGTAGGGTGCTAAGCTAGCAAGTTTAGTTGAAGTTGCTGTATGGACTGATTCTACTAATTTATAAAAAATTATATTTAAAATATAATTTATTAAAAAAATAAAGAAAAATTGTATAAAAAATAGCTATCTACAGACTACAATAATTTCAACCAATACGGTCAGAAAAGTATCTTCAACCTTACTTTTTCTTATTATTACACAATTCAACGTATGAAATCAAAAGTTACGTGTTTGATTAAAAAGTCGGCTGATAAGCCTGAAAACAGAGTTACTAAATGAGCTCTAAAAGAGTTGATAAAGAAAGACCATATTCAAATTCAAGTCGAGTTTAGATTGAGTAAAAAAATCTATGGTTTGATTTGAGTTGTGTTTAGATTCTAGTTGAGCTCAATTTATATTCGAGTTTTATCCATTCTAAAAATGATATATTACCTCCATCCCGGTGAAATTTGGAAAGTTCAGATTATGTGAGGAATAGGAAAAATAAAAATTGTGTGATCGAGGTTTGCGCATAGAAGAGAAAAATGAATAAATCCACAAACTAGTTGCTTTAATTGGAAAGGGAAAAAAATTTCGAATAAAAAAAGTTTGCAAAGTCGATTGGGACGGATGGACGGATGGAGTACTCGTAAACAGGGGCGGAGCCAAGGGGGGGGGTCAGGGGGGTCAGTCGACCCCGCTGAAAGTTTGAGAGCATAGAGCTCTGAAATATCTTCGATTTGATATATTATGGCCCCCGTAACTCATTACGAGTAAAAAGTTATGACTTCTGCAAAATCAACACTATCTAAACGTAAAATCAGCAAAATTTGATGAGTAATATTGATTTTTTTCCCCAAATTTTAAAAATAGCGTATAATTAACTCATTACTTACGTGACATGACTCAAAAATAGAGCAAAAACAGTCTATTTTATTGTTACGAGTGCCTATTTATCTAAATTACATATAAAATATTTAACTCGGACATTGTTTGGAAACAATCCACCGTTTTCATTTTGTATAAAGTTGATTCTCGACTCCCCTAGACCGTATATTTGGCTCCGCCAATGCTCGTAAACAAAGGTTTTGATTTGTCATACAGTTAAAAACATATGTGCAATCAATAGGTTTTACACTTGAAAGTTAGGAACAATGTTTTGAAACTTGTTGCCTAGTTATCCCATGAATATTATGGCTCCATATGTCGTCTATGATTTTACTCAAATCCAAATTAAACTAAGTTCAATTAGTGCCGCTTAAATCTACTTGAGTGTTGCCTAAGAGCATCCACAATGCTAGGATTTCTAGTCTAAATTAATATTGCCAAATGTCAAATTCTTAAAGAGGCTTTCTATACACGTGTTAGGCAGTGGAGTGAGTAGACACGGACATACAAAAGGAGCCTCCAATGCAGAAAGTCCAAGACCCAATTTAATGATTTATACGAAGTACTATATGTTCTGCTTCTTCATACGGTCAAGAAGAAAATAGGGATTTTTTCTAATTCCTATTTCCTATGATTAAGAAAAAAAAAGTGGCAATTTAATTTGTGTCCACCGCCAAGAACATACCAATCAGAGTCTCCAGGTGCAGAATCATCGCATCCGACGTTGGCCTCACCATCACCTCAGCGGCAGCACACACCTGTTCCGCAAGAGAAAGGGAAGAAAATCCATAGAGTTTGACCATAACTCCTGGAATCGACTTCTTTCTTCCATAAAACAGAGGAAGTTAAAAATTGACATGGCTGAAAAATTAAAAGCCAACCTTCGAACATTTAACATCTTCAGCAATTTGAAAAAAAATCTCTGTAAAATAAGGGTCGTGTCTACATATGACTAAACTGCATGATTGGAGTTTAGCGGAGAAAAATTGACGTGTGTAGTTTTATCGGAGAAAAACGGAGAAAATTGATGTCGTGCAATTTTATCGGAGAAAAACGGAGAAAATTTAATGAATCAGCCTGTGGAGAAGGCTGTCTACATTCACACAGTCCCCTTCACAGTGTCGAACAATTTTTAGGCCAGCTCAACAAAATGAAACTAAGGACTTGATGCATTGGAATACAAAATAAGTGCACACCGTCTACTTTGATGAGGTGGCTTAATATTTCTTAGACTAAACAGTCCGCATTGCGGATGCTCTAAGAATGCCTAATATCCACATAACACGTTGAACATTGTCTAAAATGTAATGCATTATATGAATCCCTAGAATTTTTTTAGCATAAAATAAGTATAAGTTTTTTGTCATGTGTATATAGGGTTGTATCTAAAATAATACTCCGTACGCTTTTAGCATAACAGGTTTTTTTAATCTAAAATAATAAACACTAACTCATAATCGAGTAGCTTGTCAAGTTTTGAGGTTGAATCTCTTCAGTGTGTATATTGTTTAATTCTTATCATTCTCATCTCCTCATTCTTCATTCCTTTCATCTTTGACAAATTTCATTTCAATTTTTTTTTTGTTTTTATTTATTGATTTCAATCTATTTCAATATATTTCAGTTTATTCTTAACTATTTTGTTTTTTTTCTATTAAATACTCTTTCAAAATATTATATTCTCTTCGATTTTCAAAAATATTACAGTAATTACCATTTTCAATTTTCCCAAAACTACTTCTTTATTCGAAGCTTGATTTGAAATTAATGGAGTTTTTTCCGTATTAATGCTAATTAATTAAGTATTTACGAAAATGTCTTTTGAGACCCGCTGAGACCCGGGTGGGCGACCTGCGGACACGATAGTCGTAAAATTCAGCGGGTCTCAAAAGACATTTTTGCCCCTCTTTTCTTTCCTTTTTTTTTAAACTTTCGTAAATACTTAATTAATTAGCATTAATACGGAAAAAAACTCAAATTAATGTATTTTAATGATACTATGTTTATCAAGATGACAACGATGTTTTCTCGAAAATAAATGTTTATATGCCATATTTTCAATCTCAAAATGTCATTTTGGAAATTAATCGTGGTTTAATTTTTATGGTACCGACTTTATATACGTGAGAGTATACTAACGATTTTTCTATTTCTCTTCTTCTTTTTCATCTCATAATTTTCCTTTTATGGTATGTTTTTCTTATAAACATATTCAATTACCCTTACGTGAGCATTAAACCCCCTTGTGTTTGAATTAATCATGCATAGAACTTGTTTTATGAATAAATTCAAGGGGGTTTAATGCTCACGTAAGGGTAATTGAATATGTTTATAAGAAAAACATACCATAAAAGGAAAATTATGAGATGAAAAAGAAGAAGAGAAATAGAAAAATCGTTAGTATACTCTCACGTATATAAAGTTGGTGCCATAAAAATTAAACCACGATTAATTTCCAAAATGAAAGAAAAATGACTAACATTTTTATATGAATTAGAGATTTTGACATATTTACTTGCATATTCAATCAAAATATTAGAAAAAGTGATTTCCGAATTGTTAAATTTATTCCTAAAAGGGGTTTTGTGCAAGATTAATTAAAACACAAGGAGGTTTGATGCATTTTTTAAATCACAAAAGACTAATGCGCTGAATTTCTATATAGGGGTTTAGTGCATTAAATTCACTCTATTTATAGTTTTATACACTATTAGAGTATTAGTTACTCATATTATTTCACTTTTGAATATGGAGAAAATATAAGGTATGGCAATCCGGTCATGTGGGCCCTAATGTGTACCATAAGCCAATGGCAGCAAAGAAATAAAACATCATACGGATATGGCAATCCGATTATGGATATGCCAAGGATAAGAATAAGATCCTCCATTTCTATTGGCCGATCAACAAATCACCTTTTAATCCCATCCATTCCCCTCTCCTCCTTGAGTTCTTATCATCCTTCAGAAAGACGGCGTTTGTAATCCAACAAAATTAGCAATTCCCGTTTTTCCCTCTCATTCATATCAGAAAAATGTCCGCCGTCATACAAGCCTCCGCCGCCGTTTCCCAGCGTCCACGCGCCTCCAAAACCAGATTCCTAACCGGGTCATCCAATAAGCAGCTCAACAAGGACATTTCCTTCCGGCCCTCATCGACTTATTCTTCTCCCAGAATTTCTTCATTCAAGGTTCAAGCCAGGAAAGGTGAATGGCTTCCTGGCTTGACTTCCCCAGCTTATCTTGATGGCAGGTGAACATACTAATAATTTGGGATTTACACTTCTTTTGCTCTTCTTGATTTTAAAGTGGAGACTTTAGGGTTAGACAAACTAGGTAGTATTAAAAAAAAGAACATTTGGGAAAATCGCACTCTTACCCCGTGTTTATGAGATTGTAAATGTCACTCCACATTGATAAATGTGTAGTAAATGTGATCCGAATTTATTGGTAGTCCATAACCTTTCTTTGATTGATTGATTTAGTCTTCCGGGCGACAATGGGTTTGACCCGCTCGGGCTAGCCGAGGACCCGGAGAGCTTGCGGTGGTTCGTGCAGGCTGAGCTGGTGAACGGGCGGTGGGCAATGTTGGGCGTGGCAGGGATGTTGCTGCCGGAGATTTTAACCCAGAGCGGAGTTATAAACGTCCCGAAATGGTACGACGCCGGGAAGTCTGAATACTTCGCGTCGTCGTCGACTCTGTTCGTGATCGAGTTCATCTTGTTCCACTACGTGGAGATCAGACGGTGGCAAGACATAAAGAATCCGGGGTGCGTGAACCAAGACCCGATCTTTAAGCAATACAGCCTTCCTCCCAATGAATGTGGGTACCCTGGAGGAATCTTTAATCCCCTCAAGTTCGCCCCCACCATTGAAGCCAAGGAGAAGGAGCTTGCCAATGGTATGTTTGTACTCATACTTAATCCAGCTCTAAACTGAAGTGACTTTGGATTCTATTCAATTGACTATTTTTAGTGTCCGTTTCAGAATTAATTAAAAAAAAACTCACTTTTTTACTCATTAACGAGTTTCTGTTCCAAACACCGCATTTTTATATCTGTAATAATCAACACAAGTAAAAGTGCAGCTATTTTTACAACTGAATTTTCAGTATAGAACAACTCCGCTTTTTTCTTACATTCATCAGTTTTTTTTTGTTTTACTTTTTATTAATAGTATAAATTTCAATCATAACTTTTTGATCATTCAGCAAATTCACCCACATCCATCACTACACCTAGCCTCAACGAATTCAGAAAATTTTAGTTTTACTCAACAGGTTATTGGTTTAACAAAAAGCAAAACAACATATGAAATAACATACTATCGTACAAAACGAGCACATATAGAAGGTATTGCATTACAAAAAACTATTTGTATATGTTCAAATCCATACACGCCGTTTCTTGAGGGCATTTTTTGTTTGTCATTACACCGCTCACAGAAAAAATATATGTTTAGTCTGTGAATAGTGTATTCACAAACAAAAATATCCTCACAAACGGCGTCTATAGAGCGTCAAGTGTCTATGGATTTGGCGTGTATAGTAAAAATTTTCCATTGGGTTAACTTGTCATTCTTTTGTTTGAAGGGAGATTGGCAATGTTGGCATTTCTTGGGTTCATAATTCAGCACAATGTGACTGGGAAAGGTCCATTCGACAACTTGTTACAGCACATCTCAGACCCTTGGCACAACACTTTTGTGCAAACGCTTGGAAGATAGATTAATTTAAGTTGAAGAGGGGTGAAACCAGAGGGCTTATTCAAGAGCATGCTGCCTGTTTATGTATGTTGAATGTTGTAAGAGTTGGCGTATTGTGTTGTAAAAGTGACCTCACTGATAATGTATATAGGGTGAACTTCATATGAAGTTTATATAAAGATGTTATTGGGTTTTGAAACTCGTATTCTGGCTCCATTTTCAAAATATTAGGGATTGGACATCTCATGCACCAAAATTCGAACCCAAGATTCTATTTATGCCAAAATACTCTATTTACTCAAAAAATGTTTGTATTAACATAAAAATGTATAGTTTTGATTTGATAGACTTATTTTGAAATTCTCAAACGTTTTTACTTTTATTTTGTGAATTTTTCCAACTTTAATTCTTTAAAACAAGGATGCAGTTTAATTTAGAAGTATGTAGGGAGCATTCGCAAGAAATTATAAAAAGTTCTTGGGTAATTCTAAATGGAGTTACACATTCGCTATTCACAGCCCTTAATTAAAATTAATTAATAAAATTAAAATAAATTGCCTATTATATCGCACTGCAGCTAGTCAACAATCGATCCCAAATTCCTCCTTCAATGTTCCTCCAAATTCATGACTGGTAGCAGTGGCGGACACAAAGGGTGGCAATGGGGGGCTTCCGCTCCTAAAAAAAATCTAGGTATATTCACCCCAAATTTTTTAATAAATATGTATTTGTATGTGGTATCGTATATTTTTGTACTGCCACCTCTGCTACCGGGAATTACTGCGTCCGCCACTAACTGGTAGGCTCCAAATATGCCGAGAAACTCGAATTCCCCTTCGCTCTCCGCAAAATCCCTCTAAGAACATCAACAACCTCCTTTCGGACGGCAAAGATGACTCAGATAAACACAAATGTGAAGGTGGAATGGGACCCTCCTAAAAATCCCAAATTACCAAGGAAGTACTGAGGCTCGAGGAAGATATTATCTGCCCAATCGAAACGGCGAGATAGACTTTCTCAAGCCCAACTCCGGTTAAGCTGTGGCAATCGGTGAGAACCACATATGCGTCGGGTTCCATGAGGAATCAGAGTCAGATTAATGGGTTAGAGAATGACACAGTCATATTATGTTGTTCGAAGAAGAAGCAGAGTGAAGAAGCTCATGTACAAACTACAAAAGAAATCAGAAAAGGTCGGAAATTTGGGGTTAAGGGAGTTGATAGAGAGGATCAAGTCAAACACTGCCATAGCTTTAGTCAGGTCCGCCGGTGTAACATCCGTCATCAACTTCATGGTGACTACCACTTCCGCCGCCATCCCCTTCACGATGTTCACCGCTAGCCTCCATCATATCTTCCGGTCATGGGAGATACTCTATATTGTAAGAGGAATTGCTATAGTAGTAGAAAATAAAACAAATAGGGCTATACTTAGGCTACATTTGGCATACCATTTCAGCTCATCAAGCAGGGGCGGATCTTGCAACTAAATGTAGGGTGTTCGAAATTACTTTACCATTAAGATGTTCATCTAATAGCACAATATATAAATTATTACATCAATTATATATATGTTTTTTACACTTACTTTTCAAAATTTTGGGTGTTCACGTGAACACCCCTGCATAAAGAAGCTCCGCCCCTGTCATCAAGGGCTAAAATTCTTTGAATTCATCTAATTATCGTAAGAGTAGGCTCGTTTGGAGAGATAGCTGAACTGAGCTTAGGTAGGAAAAAAGAGACTGAATTAAAACGTTGCTAGCCCAAGTGTTGCTATTCAGCCTATTAAATAACGCACATTCTATACCACTTCTATCCCTGTGCCTGTAATTTTCCATTCGTGCTACCTTGGCTCTTCGCCTATTCCCCTTCGCTTCAGGATTTCTTCATAGCCTTCTATAATTTCAAATTGCCTCTGCATGTTGGTTTGTGGCAAAGGCAAAGCAACTTAGCAACCGGGATTTGAAAAACAACCTTACTATAGGTACCCATTTTATACCCCGATTTGTACCTCAACCTATTTTGTGGCTCACAAAAGCCCACTTCAATAAATGAATTGCTCCACTTTAATGAGCTGCTTTTGTGAGCCACAAAAATAGGGTGAAGTACAAATTGGGATACAAATTGGGGTATCTTTAACATTTTTGTTTGAAAAAGGCCAAATTTCAGGTGCTGCCTACCCAAGAGGAGTAGCAATAATATGGAGTAATATGTAAAGAAAAATAGTACTCCGTGCAAAGATTTAGCAGGAAGCCTTAATTGGGACAATTCGGTTTACGATGCTTGACCGACGATAAAACAATCAGATCTCTGTTCGCACTCAAATTATTTTTCGGATATTTTTTTTAAAACCCGGATTGGCCACTTGGGTGGGTGGGGAAAGCGCCGGGAAACACTTTCCAAATTTATTAAAATCATCAAGTTACAAAACAAAGTTCAACTTCGGATTTTTTTATACGGAGTATATTCAGAAACTACATTAAAAGCTTTACAAATTCGCAAAAACCAGAATTAAATTTGATAGAAATAAGAGATTAAGAGTGATTTGTGTTGAATAAGTGAATAGTGTCTAGGACAATCTTAGCGGGACGCAGGGAGTAATATTATTATATTATATACTCCGTATCATTCTGTATATTTTTTGAAAGGGTATCGTTCTATAATTTTAAAAGGCTGAAAATATAAAAATCATCATAATAAATATTTTATCTTATTAATAAATCATATGCCCTCTAATGTAATTTCACATTATTCCATCACTTTTTCAGCTCTTTTTGACAAACGGGTCTACTCGATTCAGCTAGCGATTCAGATTCAGCACCTCAATGTTCAGCTCCAGACAATAGTCTTTTATTCAGACAATACCCCTAATTCAGACATTAGCCTCCAATTTCAGCTGGTTGTGCCAAACATAGCCTTAGTAAATTAAAAATAGGGTTGTAGGTAGAAATTTTCAAATGTTTTTCTGTTTTTGGCTTAAAAAAATTGAAATGAATGTTTTTAAAATAACAACTTCTATTAAACAGAATGATAAAAAAACTTATATTAAACAGCATGCCACTATTGCTATTACACAAAATGTACGTATATTACTCGAAATTGGACTAAAAATGTTTGAAAATTCCAAAATAGGACTGTCATATTTTATTCTCAAAATAGGACTAATTACTGTCATGTTTTGACAGTACCAGACTTCAAACATGACAGTATTTTCCAAACTTGATAGTGATTACTCTTATTTGGGAATAAAAAACATGGCAATCCTATTTTGAAAATTTCAAACTGTTAGTCATATTTCGGGAACTAATTTTGGAAAGCAAATTTATCTCAAACATTACAAACATCTTTTTTAAATGGTGCAAACTTTAATTATCAAACACTTTATCTTAAACACTTTCAAAAATCACTTTGTTGGAGCGCAAATTATATTGTGGGATCGGCCCACCGTGAGCACGGTGTGCCGATCCCAAAACGGCATCGCTTTTCTTAAAATAAATACAGAACGATCGATCTTCCACTATTTTCTTAAAAACCTGGCCTTGCAACTCTGGTTTGTCAATCACCGACTCCATAGAATCATACAGTGGGCTGAAATTTGTCTTAAATCCAAACAGATTATCGTTCTGTGATGACAGAACTTTAAGAGCTAAAATACTTACCAGGCCATCATCGCCTTTGGCTCATGATTGTGAACAAGTGGCCTGGTTTTATCACTTGCGATCATGAACAAGGAATGATCAGTTTTTAGTGGACAGAATCTGGTTTTTACAGAACGGTGGCTCTTCTATCTTTGCTCTTTCAAGTTTCAACCCCTCACACATAACCTTTTTGCTTTGATTTACCATCTAAGCTGCGTATTAATCAAATTCAATTAATGTAATTTTGTCTGTTCTCTTGATGTTAATGATGGAGTTAATTGGTATATATAGGTATATACATGTGTGTGTTTTTAATACATAAAGTTACATCTTTTTATACTCCATTTACATTTTAATGTGCGCGAGTTACATCTTCTAATGAGTGAGTTACATTTGGAAATGTTTCAAACAAGTTACATTTCCTATTAACACAAGTTACATTTGTCATGAGTTACATCACAAAATAAACCTCTTTTATTGAAACGAAAAAAACCTTTTATGGAATCAATTATTTTTGCAAAAAAAATGTTTTTAGGGAAAAAATGATTTCTCTAAAACATTTTATGGTCTCAATATTAAAAACAAAACATATTCATTATTTAGGTACATCAATTAAGCAATTAGTTACATTTGTTACATGAGTTACATTTCAGGGCACACATTACATTTGTTGTTAACTGAAGTTACATTTGTAACAACGCGAGTTACATCTATTTATGCATAAGTTACATCATTCATGTTACTCGGATGAAAAAAAACAATTATTGTACACACGTATACTGTTCACATGTGTATTGTTCATGCAATTTTTTTAAATAATTGTGTGAAACTAAGTCATTTTAAGGGTGGGAGCACTGTGCTAATGAACTGTTCATTAGGTGTGTGTGATACCACGGTATACAAACTCTTGTTGGAGCAGAAGCAATCAAAATGCTCCACTATTTTAGTCTAAAGGAAAAACGAGAAGAATATATTTTCTTTAGCTAAAGGATAATCGACAAGAAGATGAGACGACAAAGCGAAGAAGCAAAGAAAAGGAACAGATACGCTTCTACGCCAACGAAAACCCGACCAGAGAGCCCATCTGGCTCAATCCGTCCTCGCCGGGTTTCTCCTCCGCCGGCGACGGGATCTCTCGTCGACCGCGACTCCGTAACCTCAGAACTGTCTTTGTTCGACGACCTCCAAATTTCCTCCGAATTCCAATCTCCTAACCCGAGAAGCTTCCCGTACAGCGTGAAGCAGCAATGCTGGGAAAAAGCTGAGAAGATCAAGGGCCGTGATCCGGACCGTTGGCGTCGAGATGCTTTAGGTAACATTGTCTTCCGGAAGCTGGTGGGCTGCCCTGGTTGTCTCTGCCATGACTATGACCATATCATTCCTTACTCCAAGGTGACTATCACTACTCACTAGATGCTGCAATACATTATACATACACCATTTATATAAAATTCCCATTTCCATCATGCTCTATTCATTCCATCTCTTTTGTATCAGCAATATGGTGTTGAAATTTAGCTTATATGTGGACTTGTATTCGTTTCTAGTCTTTTTACTGCTATTTAATGCCCTGTTCTGGTTGATGATCTTAATAATGTAATATACTTTTGGATATTAAAAAATCACTCACAGTCACACATGTTAATTTTAAAAACCGCCAAAAGAAAATAGAGACCCATTTTTTCCTTGTTTTCAAAATCTGGTTTTTTGTTTTTAAGAGAACGAAAAGTGAAAACTTTCAAACACCCTGAAAGGGGACTTAACAAAGTTCTTTGAAACTTGTGCTGGTTCATTGTTGCTGCTTCAGTGTGAAATTTGGGGTTGATTATGTTGATATTGCCAATGGCAGCCGGACATGTGTCTGATGTTGTGCCGACAAATCAGGTTGCATATACTCAGTAACTTCCATTAAATTGTTATGTAGTGTGTTGTTTGAATTATAGCTGGTGATTGAGAAATGTAAAATATGTTTACATTCACGTGATTATTGAATTACAAGGCTTAAACTGTTAAGCACAGAACAGTTCATTAGCATTCAGTTAGAAAACCCTAGGCATCAGTACAATGTTCATTGTATTTCCATTTTGAATACCATCAAACTGAAGTAGTTTGTGCCTTTACAACAGAAATGGTTAACCACAGTACAATGATCATTGTATTTCCATTTTGAATACCATCAAACTGAAGTAGTTTGTGCCTTTACAACAGAAATGGTTAACCACAGTACAATGTTCATTGTATTTCCATTTTGAATACCATCAAACTGAAGTAGTTTGTGCCTTTACAACAGAAATGATCAAGGACTGGAGAACATAATGCACTTTAGAAACACATTTTTCTTTCTATGATCTTCCCATTGCACTGTTTTCACTAATAGAGGCTTGCTTAAGTTTCCATTCTTTTATGTTTTCTTATTTCTTGCTCTTCTTCCTTTTATACTTTGCTCAAAAAAACAAATCTGGTGGTGGAAGAATATTCAGAAATTCTGTTCTTGAACAACTTTCACTCGGTTCATTTTTTGTAAATTTTTTCAGGGAGGAAAGAGCACGTTGGAAAACTGTCAGGTTTTACAGGTATAGACCTTGATATAGTAGATAATGTTAGGTAACTTCAGATTTACCTCTCTCAATAAAGAGAGGTGTCCTCTTGTGACGAGATCAAAATATAATAATTTCTTAAAAGTTAAAAAAGTAGTTATAATACTTTCCAAAAATCCAAACATTAGTATTTTTTAAAGTATTGTTTTGTACTTTTTTTTATCTCTAAGTATTCATTTTAAGTGAAAAATGATTGTTCATTCACCCTCTTGCTCTATTGCTTGATTCAGGCCAGGGTGAATAGATCAAAGGGAAACCGAACAGAACTATCTAAAGCCGAACTAATTCAGAAAAGTTCTTACTGCAGGGTTTCCGGTAATCCCAGTTTTTATGCTTAAATATGCTGCCATTGTTCTTTATTGTTTGTTGTTTCCTTGGTGTTTGATGCTTTTAGTGTGAATCAGGTCGAGACATGGACCTTCTCGAACTGACATCATTTGGCAATGTCCATCATGGGCAAGGTTCTGATGGCGGATGTAGCCTTCAATAGCCATCATGGGCAACATTCAACTGTTTAACCTAATTGAGTGAAAATTGAGGATGTTGGAGGAGCCTATGGTTTGCAAGACAGTCGGACAAAGTGAGGTGCAGCAAGCTGAATCCTAATACTTTATGGCATGCGTCATTCTATTTGGGCTTTGGCTTGTGTTTGAGATACGAGTCTCATTGTTTGTAAAATGCTGTTTACTAAATGTACTTTTTGGGTTTCCAATTTTTAAAATACTCCAAGCACCCCAACACTGGATTATACGAATCATATGATTGGCAACTGTTCACATTGATTGATAAAAACTATTGATACCAAATCATACCATTTGTGATTTTCCGTTTATGGTAATCTATGTTGCACGGTAACGCGAAAATAATGAGGAAGCGGGAAACGTCAACTTTTGATAAAAGAAAAGCACTTGTTTCACACTTTCACTGTTTCGAGAGTTTTCAAAGAGTTTCTGTAGATGGTAGTTGAATTGATTGACTACCATTCTTGTTTGTAGCTCATGCACCTATTAAGTCCTTGTGTTTGTGAGGTATACCATTTCAATGGGTGCAATGCCGTGGCTTCTGTTTTGCTTAGGTTTATGTGAAGGGTGGAACTGTAACTGTAAGCTGGTGCACCTGGACTGGCTCCAATTCTCTGTCCACTTCTCGGGTTGATTTTGGATCGGTTTCTTAGTCTAGTTTTTAAAAATGGGAAACCGGTTCTTATTTGAAGGAACCAAAACCGGTTCGCATGAATCTGAGCGGGTAACCGGAAAACCAGATTAGTCTTTGGGCAAAAAACTGGCCAGCCTAGGTTCAGTCCGGTTCTGAGATGAACAAAAGACGTCATGAAGTGAAACTGTTACTACATGGAAGTGTATGATTATAATTTTCTGGTATCGGACCACCGGTTAAAAACTTAGGGCCTGTTTGGATGGAGTGTTTGGAAGTATTAGTAATAGCAGTGTTAGTAAGTGTTAGTAAGGGCCCGGAAGGGAATGGAAGTGTAAGGGTTTAGACATAATTTTATCTTATTTGGGAGAGTCAAATGAATGAAGTGTTAATAATGGAAGTGTTAATAATTTTACCTTGAGACAAAAGAAACGAGTAAGGAGAAGAGATGAAAAAGGCGGACCATCAGACCTACGGGAAAGAGATTCGAGGTGAGATGTCGAAATAGGAGTTATGAAAGGAGCACGTAAGTTGAAATAAGAGTAAGTTGAAATAAGCAATATATGTAAGTTGAAATTACTAGGGGTGGGCGTGGTCCGAAACGGTCCGGTAAATTAGTAAAACCCGTAATGTATCCGTGAGGTTTTTAACGTTCCGGTTTCTAGGATGGAACCGTTCAGTACCATGTCGTTTCGGAACGGTACAAAACGGTACGGTACAATGCCAAACACATGCTAAAAAATTTGAACAAAACTTGCAATTACTGGATATCATCACACCAACCAACTCACATTAAATGTTGATATACATACAAGAAATTGCATATATAGGACTAAAATTCACAAATAAACAAACAGAGCAACACAACTAAGAAAGAATATAGCAAAACGATGACGCACGAGATAAATATCCTCCTTAATTCAATTAGTTCATGTGAAAATATAAAAAAGAATATCATCAAATTGTTGAATATAATACAAATCCTCAACGTTCTTCTTCTTCTTCTTCTTCATTCTAGGTTAAATACTTCGTAAATTTAATTTAGGTTATAGTTAAACCTTGAGAGTTAAAATTTAGTCCATGTAAATTAAATTGTAAAATTGCACAAACATGATACAACAAAAAGTCATGTACGCTAACATTACTAGAAATGAAGTCATTAATGATTTCTCTAAAATTTTAATATTCTTTCAATACATACCAAACTATAACATAAATTATCTAAAAAGAAAAAATAACAATATATATATATATATATATATATATATATATATATAATATACTCCGTATGTCACACACATTTAACTATTTTAGGGACGCATAAATACATACTTGGGCTATAAAATTGTTGGTCTATAAAAGAGATCTATTGAATTGGTATAGAAAAAATATAAAAAAATTCATGTGCATGTTTTTCAAACGGTTCAGTCCGGTATTTTTCGGTTTTCAAAATCTAGGACTTGTCCCGTACCCGTTTCAAATGGTATGGGACAAAAATATATAGAACCGTTTAAATACCCGGCATGGGCGGAGCTAGGGGAGGGCCATCCCTGGCCCTGGCCCAGCCCAAATTTTAAAAATGCTTGTATTTTAACTGTGAAAAATTATGTGAAAAAAAAAATTCAAAAATATTCTTTGTACCGGCCCAGTGCGGCCCAGTGCCTTGGCTCCGCCCCTAAAATTTACCCGGTATTCAGTTCAGTACCATTATGGGACGATTCGGTACTGGTTCGGTTCGAGTTTTATGCCCATCCCTGGAAATTACTTTTTTTTTTGCATGGGAAAAATAAATTACTTTTCTGAATAAATTAGTTGAAGTTATTATAGAGAATTTTTTAGCTATTTTCACACTAGTATTTTTTTATTAATAAAATTTATTTTAAATATAATACTCTGTGGTTCCGTTCCTAAATTGAAGTCCTAGTTTGACTTCACACTGCTTTGACGTTGTTTTGCACGGTTTTGCACTGTTTGACATTATTTGATGTATATTTGCTTACCATATAAGAAATTCAAACTTTAATTTAGGAGCATCTCAAAAAGGAAAATGAGACTTTAAATTAAGAATGGGAGAGTAATATTTATATAGAGCCCGTTTGGAGACCCCTTTTTTTGGCTTATCAAGCTTATCAGCCAGTTTTTTCACCAAACACGTAATTTTTACTTTCGCGTGCTGAATTATGTAATAAGCAGAAAAAGTAAGGTTGGAGTTACTTTTCTGGCTGTATTGGCTGAAGTTACTGTAGATGACCATTTTAGCTATTTTTACATGTAATTTTTTCTTTATTTTATTAATAAAATATATTTTTAAAATATTTTTTTCTAGAATCAGCAGAATCAGCCAAAACAGTCACTTCAGCCAGAACTTCATAAATTTCAGCAGAAACAGCCAAAACAGCCGATTTTCGTGCTACCAAACGGGCTCATAATTTACGATATATAGTCAATTCACCCTTAATTTCATTAATTTGAACCGATTAAGTCAATTTTGGTGTTAGGCCCTCAATTACGTCAACCTCCGAAGTGTAAATTAGGAGATCGAAATACATATGATCATGGTAGTCATTTATCATTTGATATACCTTATTTGACTCCTTGAGCTTATCGAGCTTGCCTTGCCGTTCATGCGATGGGTTGTTGAGGAGAAAAATAAAGGAAGAATGTTATTGATAAAATGTTATTAATGAAAATTTAACCATACAACCACAGGAACTTATTCATACGATTTTCGGATTTTAATATCTTCATTAAGGATATTTTCTTTTTGGACTGAAATTTGCTGGTCTGATCTGATGTGGTTTGGTAAACGTCTGATTTCTGTGTATTTTATAACTACGAAAGTCTGGTCTGATCTGATCTGATCTGGTGTAATCTAGGACTGAAAACAGTCTAAAAGAAAATATCCTAAATCCTTAATTATATACTGCAAAATAGCAATGATTAGTTACCATTCTTACCATCATTCAAAAAATAAGAAATGGAGTGAGAAAATATACTAAGTACTCCCTCGTGAGATTCCTTGTAGCAAAAGCATTTGGCATGACATTGAGGAAATGAATTTTACAAGTTACACCTACCTCAAATAGGAGAGGAATTTGGGTTGCGTTTCATTTTAGAGTAATTCATAACAGTGCGTTAAATTCATCATTTAACTATATTACGGAGTAGTTAATTGAAATTACCGCTAAATTTGATATTGTACTCACTTTATATTGGTGTGAAATCATAGTAATTGGTTTATATGTAAAATTAATTATATTGAGGAATGCTTATTATTTTTTTCACGAAAACTGTCACAAAACTCTTACTGCCTAATATAATGAGGATTGAATGCTATTTGTAGTGATAGAAGCTATTCAGTTTATTTGTTGGGAGAATTTGACTTTGCACCCCATATTTTGGGTAATATTTGACTTTGCACCCTATTTTCAAAATCATTAATGTATGCACCCCAATTCACTATAAAATCATTTGACTTTGCACCCCACTCCTTCACAATTTTTGGGCTAATGGGGTGCATACATTAATGATTTTAAAAATGGGGTGCAAACTCAAATATCACCCAAAACATGGGGTGCAAATTCAAATTCTCCCTTATTTGTTCTATACCATTGAGATTTTTTTAATTGTAATCTCTAGGGTTTTGCTTTATGTACTTCTTGTGTATACTACTTCTCCCAATGATAATTTTATTATATATTATCGATGATACATACATAGAAGCAGTGAGAGCAATGGGATTAACCTTGATGACAAAAAGATTTCTATTTGTGATATGTTTGGTCATTTGGATTTCATAATTCATAAGGATGGAAAACTTGAACTAAATCACTGGGTGATATGTTGACTGTGAGTTTACTTGGGCTCCATATATAGTTCAAAAGCATAGTGAACTTTTTATTTACTTGGGCTCCATAGGAAAATGCTAGGAGTACACAAGTTGTACACAACTTGTACACACAATGTCGGTCATAGACAATTTGTACGGAGTTACTTGTGACCACAGACAAGAGTTGTCTGTGTACACAGACAAATTTTGTCTGTTCCCACAGACATTTACTTTTTTGTAAAAAGTACACTGAGAGCCGCCTGACACTGACAAGTACTTTTTACAAAAAAAGTAAATGTCTGTGGAAACAGACAAAATTTGTCTGTGTACACAGACAACTCTTGTATGTGGTCACAGGCAACTCCGTACCAATTGTCTGTGACCGACATTGTGTGTACAAGTTGTGTACAACTTGTGTACGTACCCCTAGCATTTCCTTCAATTAACTACTTGGGATGTTTTTACTTGGACTGTAATTTGTCCCAGACCGGACCAGTTCAGACCAGACCAGACCAGACTTGGATAGTTATAAAAATAGCAAAAATAGTCTCATATTAAGCAAATTCATCTAATTCGGCTAAAAAATAACTTCAACTTTACGATAATTACACAATTGAGTGCATTGAATCAAATTAGTTGTGTATTTGATAACATGATTTGGTGATAAACATTAAACAAAAAAAAAACATTAAACCAAAAATAGTGGTTACTAATTAAACAGGATCTGAAACAGAATGTTACGTTTTTAAGATATTTACGTGGTTGAGTTTCATCTTGAGTGATTTATTTGATCAGATGTGTAATTAAATTTTTATTTTACTTTAAAAACACCTAAGAAATATTTAATATTGCGCAACTATTCACATATAAA